GCCACTCAACCAAAAACACCCTGGATCATTAACTCAGGAGCCTCAGACCACATGACAGACTCCTACCACTTATTCTCATCTTACTCCCCATGTGCCAGTAATCTCAAGGTTAAAATTGCAGATGGATCTCTGTCCACCATAGCAGGAAAAGGGACTATTCAAATCTCTAATTCTATAACCTTGGAATATGTTCTTCATGTTTCTAATTTATCTTGCAATTTACTGTCTATAAGTCAGTTAACAAAATTATCAAATTGTTCTGCTAAATTTTTCCCATCTTACTGTGTCAGGACCTATCATCGGGGAAGACAATTGGCAGTGCTAAAGAAAGTGAATGACTCTATTACTTTGACAAGGCAGATGTGGGTAAACAGTGTCAAATTAAAATTTGTGATTCTGCGTCTGTCCTTAGAAATAGTGAAATTATGTTATGGCATTTTAGAATGGGACATCCCAACTTTCAATACCTAAAACGTGTACTACCTTCTATTTTTTTGAATAAAAAGACAGTTGATCTTCAATGTGAAATTTGTGAACTTGCAAAACATCAGTGTACACCATTTCCGAAATCCGTATACAAACCATCAAAGCCATTCTCCATGATTCATAGCGATGTATGGAGTCCCTCACGGATTCCAAATCGTGCTCACTCGAAATGGGTTGTCACATTCATTGACGATCATACTCGAATTTGTTGGATTTACCTACTAAAAGATAAATCTGAAGTTCGGGGCGTGTTTGTCAACTTCCACACTATGATTCAAACGTAGTTCCAAACCAAAATCCAAATCTTACACACTGATAATGGCACAGAGTACTTCAATAACATCTTAGGCGACTATCTCAGAACACATGGCATAGTTCATCAAAGTTCATGCGTTGATACTCCCCAACAAAATGGGATTGCTAAATGTAAAAATAGACATATATTAGAAGTCGCCCGTTCCCTAATGTTCACTACAAACATGCCTAAAAAATTATGGCGGGATGCTGTCCTTACATCCATTTACCTCATCAACCGAATGCTTAATCGAGCCCTAAATTTTGAAGCTCCCATCCAAAAATTCCGAAAATATTTCCCAACTTCTCGTCTTAGCTCCAATCTACCCCTACGAGTATTTGGATGTACTGCCTTCGTACATGTCCATCCCCATCAAAGAAACAAACTTGATCCCCGGGCAATTAAATGTGTCCTAATTGGTTACTCTCCTACGCAAAAAGGATACAAATGCTATGATCCACCCACACAACGAACATATGTAAGTCTTAATGTTACCTTTTTCGAAAATAAACCGTACTTTGAAAAAACCTCTCTTCAGGGGGAGATCTTAATAGAAAATCGGTTCTTTGACTTCAGTCTCTTCTCTCCTGAACCTTCTCTATTTATTCCTCCATCCGATGCTAATATGCCATTAACAAAGGAAAATTTGAATACAGGGGGAGACGTAGAAAAACAAAAGGATAAGGAGATATTAGTTTACTCACGAAAGCCAAAATCAAAGTACACAGAGAATCTCACGACTGAAGCACTAAAAGAATCAGAACCGATGGTAGCTCCACCTCAGAAAGTATCAGAGTTATCTAATACCGATTTACCCATTGCCCTCAGAAAACAACCACGGTTATGCACTCAACACCCTATCTTCAGAATTCCGTACTTTTACAGCCCACCTTGACAATACGATTATCCCGAGGAATATTTAGGAGGCATTGGAAGTTCCAGAATGGAAAGAGGCAGTTTTGAAAGAAATGCGTGCTTTGGAAAAAAATGAAACTTGAGAAGTAATGGAGTTGCCACAAAGAAAGAAACCTGTGGGATGTAAATGGGTTTTCAGCTTAAAATACACAGTAGATGGGACAATACATCGGTATAAAGCCCGATTGGTTGCAAAAGGATATCCTCAAACATATGGTATTGACTACACAGAGACATTTGCACCAGTAGCAAAGTTGAATACAGTTCGAGTCTTTCTGTCAATAGCAGTAAATTTGGACTGGCCTCTTCAGCAACTTGATATTAAAAATGCATTATTGAATGGGGAATTGGAGGAAGAAGTATTTATGACATTACCGCCAAGCTTTTGTAAGGAGGAGGAAAAAGGTCCAGTATGCAAGCTAACGAAATCACTATATGGACTCAAACAATCACCAAGAGCATGGATTGATAGATTTGCAAAAGTGTTGAAAAATCAAGGATATCGCCAAGGGCAGTCAGATTACACTATGTTCCTGTGGCAGTTTGTAGATGGTACTAAAACTATTCTGATTGTATACGTTGATGATATCATTCTGACAGGAGACAATAGAACAGAAATGGAAAGACTAAAAATAAGTCTTGCCACTGAATTTGAAGTAAAGGACTTGGGAAAAATGCGATATTTTCTGGGAATGGAAGTTGCGAGATCAAGACGAGGGATCAGTGTACCACAACGGAAATATGTTCTTGATTTTCTAACTAAAACTGGCATGCTAGGATGTAAACCAAGTGATACACCCATAGATATTGGAAGAAAAAATGGCAACGAAGGAAATCCTGTAGAAATAGACAGATATCAAAGATTGGTTGGAAAACTGATTTACCTATCACACACCAGGCCTGACATAGCATTTGCAGTTAGTTTGGTAAGTCAGCACATGCACTCTCCAAAGGAAAGTCACTTAGAAGCTATCTATAAGATACTGAGATATCTCAAGGACTCTTCGGGAAGGGGGCTATTCTTCAAAAAGGATGAAAGAAAAGGAGTGAAAGTCTTCACAGACGTAGATTAGGCCGGATCAACAGATGATAGGAGATCTACTACAGGTTACTACACATTTGTATGGGGAAATCTAGTAACCTGGAGGAACAAGAAACAAAACGTAGTTGCCAGAAGTAGTGCTAAAG